GTTCTTCATTCAAGAACGAAACACATTGACATTAGGCACCATTTCATTAGAGATCATGTTCTCAAAGGTGATGTCGAAATTGAGTTTGTTGAAACACACAACCAATTAGCCGACATTTTCACAAAACCTTTAGAGAAAGAATCGTTCTTCCGCATTCGTAGTGAACTCGGAATCCTTGACTCCACGATGATCTAATTTGTGCATTTTATCACTTCTTTTTCTTTGCTTGACCGTTTATTAACTTGAGCGTCGGAGGGTTTTCTAACTCTTTTTCGCAGGAACGGTTCGAACTGAAGAAATCTGGAAATCAGGGGGAACCAGCGATGGGTGCGTTATACCATCGCTGGGAGGGAAGTCTTCACTTTTCCAGGACCCCTCTTCCCATCGATGGGTGCTTCTCCCCATCGATGGGTAATTGACTCTCTTTTTTTAAAACTTTTAACGGATTTCCAGAAATACCTTACCCATCGATGGGTATTTCATCCCATCGCTGGGTGAATGTTTTTAATTTCAAAAATTTTCTCCAGAACCTCCCTACCCATCGATGGGAACTTTCTCCCATCGCTGGGTGTTTGACACTATTTTTTAAAATTTTTTTTAATCGGATTCCCAAAATCACCAACCCAGCGATGGGATGGTATTAACATCGCTGGGAAGGCTTTCGTCTTTTATCCTTCACTTTCCAGAACCCACCTTCCCATCGATGGGAGAATCCACACATCGCTAGGAAGGCAGTCTGATTTTCTCCTTCGCTTTCCAGTAGCGACCTTCCCATCGATGGGTAGATCCTACCATCGCTGGGAAGGCGGTTGAAGTTCAAAATTTCAGAACCGTTGGAGACAGCATTAATGGCCCAACAGCTCTTTTTTTCAAAATTGAAACGAGATTTCCTCCTCTCCCTATATATTCCCTTCACCATTAACCATTTTAAACACACTTTTATCTTCTCAAATTGCCTTGCTTAAGTCTTTTCTACTAAACTCTTTCATTTGTTTTAAAAACACCCCACAACCATGGCCGGAGGAAAGAAGACAAAAGCTTCGAAGAAGAAGGTCACCACCGAGGCTACGAGCTCTGCGCCTCAACCGTTCCTCTACCTGGACGGATCGTTTCTTGAGTTCGGGTCGGAGGAGGAACTCAACCGGTTCCTCACGCACTTTGCCAAGCGTCCCATTTCTCCGCCTAGGGTGCTGCCCGAGTTGTACCCTCAACAAAAGGGGTACCACGACCTCGACAATCAGATTCAAGCATCGGGTTTGTGGTCGTTCGTCTCCAGGAGCCGCTCGAGCTTCAATCCCGCCTTTGTGCGAGCCTTCTACTCCAATCTCCGCCGTGACGGGGACACTATTCGCAGCAGCATCAATCTCTACGACATAGAGATTGATTTGCCTACCTTTGCTCGAGTCGCAGGGCTGCCCATCCGCGGTGACAACATCGCAACCTATGGTGGCGACGATTGGATCCTCAACAACGAGGCGGTCGTCATTCGTGAGCTTGGGATCACCAACTTGATCCGCCACAGCGGCACACCGACGATTCACTCGGCCCCACCGAACAAGCGCCTCCTCCTCTACATCATCACCCGGATTCTCCGCCCCCGGGACAGCAGCCATACCTCGCTCTTCAACGAGGACTTGAAGGCGATTCATGCCATCATCCACGGCGCCTCCATCAATTGGGCGAAATTCGTGATGATCCACATGGCGGATTGCGCCTCCATCGCCACTGAGCGGAGCTTGCCATACGCCTTCCTCGTCATGGACCTCATCATCTCCGCCGACATCTCCATCACCGGCCCGGATACGAAGATGACAAAGATTTGGATAATTCAAGACAGCACCTTCCGGAAGAAGTCCGGAGACCGAGACGGCGCAGGCCCAAGTCGTGCACCAGCCCCCGCTCCCGCCAAGGCCTCTTTGCAATCCATAGCCGATACTCTGAATCAGCTAACCCTCACAATGGATGGCATGGGGCAGTCAATCAAGCGGATGGACTGGACGCTGCAACGCCAACACCACGACATGATGGCGTTCTTTTGCGGCATCAACTACGTCCCGCCGCCCTTTGACAGCACCTTCCTCGGCCAAAACTATGAAGGCGAGGACGAGGAGGATAACTCCTATGCTCCATCCTCCTCCCCCGACGAGGCCGACTTTGAAGATGCGGTCGACGGCGATCCCATGGACGTCGAGGACGACGAGGATGACGACGAGGACGCCGATGCTTAGACTTTTCTTTTCTCTTCTTACTATGATTGTATTTTTTATTTTTTCCATTCCGTTGTATTCCGCATTTCCCTTTTTTTTCATGAATAAAAGTTTACTTTTACAATTCTAAAGTTTACTTTTAATTCTTTTTGTTAAAGTCAAAAGGGGGAAGATATTAAGGTTATGCATAAATTAAGGGGGAATTTTTTTTGTAAAATGGCATCTATTAAGGGGGAACATCTTTTTCAAAATAATCCTCCTATGCATAACCTCGTCTCGTTTGCCATTATCAAAAAGGGGGAAATTGTTGAAACACGGGCTTGTCACGTTTTCGTACTAAAGCCGTGTTCGTTTTTGTAACAGGTTTTAATAATGCCAAACCGCCGTGATCAAGTCGAACATTGAATATACAAGGCGAAGAACGAAGATAAGAGCAAGAGCTAAACGAAGACCAAGAACGAAGACCTTAACCATAGTATTGAGTCGGTCTTTATTGTGATCAAGACCGACCCAATCTTTACACCTTGGCTCTTTAGGCTAAAATCTCTCATTGCATTTCTTACATCATAAAAACGTTTTTCAAATTTGTTTAAGTCATTAAAAACACTTGGTGTTCGCCCAAACCAAAAACCAAGCCATCCAGTGTTCGGCTTTCAGAAACCAACGTTCGGCTTTCGGTTGTCAGGTTTGGTTTTTGGCATCCGAACCAACCAAGTGGTTTTCAGCATTTTATGATCTGCTTTCACTCTTTGACATGTTTAAATGGTACTCCAACAAAAACACTTTGAAAACCATCTCTCGCTTTTAGTCGTTTGACAAAAACCCAGCAAAACGGCGTAAACTTGGCTAGCCGTGGTTTTTACTCAAATGACGTGATTTTTAAAGTGTCTCACTTGATTTCTTAGCCAAATACATCAAATAAGTGTTTTAAACACTTGGTTTTTATTTTGGAGAACTTTGTTTTTTTTCGGTCGATTTTTGCATCGGTTGGCTAGGCCGTGGTTAAAGCAAAAACCATAGGTTTTTGGCTAACAACCCACCCAGCGATGGGAAGAACATCCCATCGATGGGTAAGTAGCCCCTTAGCCAAGCCAACTTCCAGAACCATGCCAAACAACGATGGGAAGCTCTACCCATCGCTGTTCAAGCCTTGGTCCAACATTATCACAAGGCAGAATGCCCTTACCCAGCGATGGGAAGCTTTACCCATCGATGGGAACCCAGCGACGGGAAGGCTAAACCATCGATGGGAAGGCATGACCGTTGGAAGTCATTTAAGGTTGATTCTTTCCTTGTTTGGAAGTCAACCTCCCACCCAGCGATGGGAAGCTTGTACCCATCGATGGGTAGGTAACCGTTGGCTTCAAAACTGAAGGAAAATTGGCCTACCAGCGATGGGTAATCTCCATACATCGCTGGGAAGCCAATATCCTGCAGATCCCAAATTTATTCAATCCCTTAAATCAAGCCAATCACCCCTTTAATGCATTGGTCCGTTGGAGCCTTTTTTTGGCACTATAAAAAGGGGTGTTTGGGTCTGCTTTTCTCATCAATTCACTTCAAAATATTCATATCATCATTGCATTAAAACAACATCATTTTTCATAGCTTTCTAGAGCCAATTTGTGAAGTTTGAGTTGTTCTTGAGCGTACTTAGTTTACTCATAATCTACTCTATAAGAGAGCCTCGTTCTTGAGTGTATTCGTGTTCTTAGACACTTTGAGAGAAAGTATTTCTCTCAGTAGATTCAAAGGAAGGGTTGTTTCCTTTGAAGGACTCGTTGAGGTTCGTGTAACTCGAACTCTCAAGTTGTAACGGTTTGTTAAGCACCCACAAGCTTAACGAGATAGTAGTGTAGCTCGAGAGAGTCTCTCGGGAGGCTGGATTAGCCACAAGTTGTGGTGAACCAGGGTAAAATTCGGTGTCCCTCTTACTCTTCTCTTTACTTCTCTTTTAAGTTTTTAATTCCTGCGATTTCTACGATCAAACGCTATTCACCCCCCCTCTAGCGTTGGTCTTTTATTCTAACACTACAGACGAGAACGTACTCGCTAATACTATAGTATGCTGAAGATATGACGTATTGAGACTCTTGAATAGTTTGATTCGATGTGCTGAAACACGTTCAAATCCGAGACGAAAAGTCAAAACGGCTATTTCCTAAGACAACGACCTCTTGAGTAACTTCCAAAGAGTGAAACATTGAAGGAAGAAAACCTACTATTAGTAACGGTAAATTGCAAATGCTATCTTGATATCTTATGACTCATATCCTTGAATTACTCAAACTTGATGTGTTAACTACACCCTTGAAACATCCCGCTTAATCAATCTTGAAAAGATTGAATACCATTCTTTGTATCAAAATAATAAAACCACGATTCTTCATTAAACAAAAAGATGTTTTATGATACCGATCTTTGAAAACTATACCTTGTGGAATACGTGACTCGATCACAAAAGTAAAACTACCTTGACTTGAACATTATGCTGAACCTCTCTTTGTGGACCACAAAACAATCAGTACAATTACGTTATCTCTAAAGATCATTATCGATGATCTTATTGACCAAGCAAACTCCATTATAACCCTGACAAGGAAATGTGTATACAACAACCAGAGTAGAAATGACGTCACAAAGAAAAGCTGAATCATTCAAGCGAAAATCTCGAACCTATATGCAATGTTGGTGTAAGAACTAGTAAAGATCCCTCACTCTATGAATTCATGAATTGAATCATATACCGAAGATATTTTTTTTCTTCCCTCGAAACGAGATCAGCCATAGTGCTAATATCGAATATGTCGCTATCATATCTAGATATGTTTTCAAATTAATAGAAGAAGTTTGAATACGACAAGTCGTACATGAGACGCTACTCAAACGTCATCACCTATGAATACGAAGACTCATTAAACGATAAATGAGCACTACCATGAAGTGAATGAAGAAATGTTTCGATGTAAATCGATGATAACAAGCTACTGTACAATCAATCGAAAGTACTTCCTTATAAATGATGACAAATCCCATATTCTGAACCGATGAAAGCCATTTAATATTATTTACGAGTCACTGATGGACTATGTGAACGATGTGAAGATGTTTTGAAACAAACTCTAAATCCCAAACTATACCTATCGTGAAGGTGATGATTCGAAACTACAAAGGCTATTGAAGAACTTTCAATCAAAGAAGGAATGTTGTTGAGTAATGACGTACAATCGAGACTTGTGAATGAACGAAGTGATGTGCAAATATGTTAAATATGCTCCAAAATACGATGTTATACCTTATAAAGGAACCTAAGTTATGGAGGTTGAATTTGACCGGGAACCCGCAAAAGGATCGTTGGAAACCTTGCTTAATCTAAGATTGTTAATCTCTTGAAGAAAGAACGAGTTTGATAAACATCGAGAATACGTATCCGTGTGGATAATGACGTAATTATAGTTTAACCTGGCGCGATCATGATTGTCGTAAATACAACAAGATATCGATTGTGGAACCTCAAAAGAATTTCAGGGACGAAATTCCTTTTAAGGGGGGAAGAAATGTAACGCCCCAAAATATACCCTAGAATTATTATTGAATAATTATTCAATTAATCAAATTTCTTTTGATTAAAATAAATTGTTGTTGGGCTTTGGGCCAAAATAAAACATATATTGATATCCAATATCACAATCTGGATAAATCTCATAGAGATAAATCCAATATGTTGACTTACTGTATGATCTTAATTTGGGGAACCAGAGTATAGACCCAAATTAGGGATTTGTTTATAATGTGAACTTTGAAATGATTTATTGAAATAAATTATGAAAATAAATAACATGAATTAAATATATGAATTTTATTGAACAAAGGTCAATTAAATGAATTTTGACTCTGTCAAAGTCAACCACCCAAAAATATGATGTCAGAAAAAGTATTACAAATAAATATGAAAACTATATCATTATGTAGAGTTTGACTGTCTGACCCCAACGGTTCAATCGGATTTCAATTCGGAGAAAGTTGGACCAAAAAGTGTACCCCGATTGGAACCAAAATTGGTCCCAATCAGGGACACTGTGCGAACGGCGCCTCCCAGCGCACTAGCCGATCACAGGATCATGGAAATGACGATGCAACCT